ATAAATAAAACTGGCCCGGCCTGCCAGGGTGCTTACCCTGGCGAGCCATCTGCCGAACGTTGCCAACTCCTGGGATAGAGCTTTCTTCTCTCAAGAGATGGTCAATTAGCATTTGCTGTTAAAGTGCAAATTTGGATCAGAATGTTATTTAAACAAAGTGCCATTACTTAAGAAAAAACAGATTTTGTGAAAATGAAGAAAAGCCTGTAAACATATTTTTGTCTAGCCGTGAGCTGTTAAAAGCTGCAAAAGTGCAGGCTGTACAGCTTAAGAATTGGTAACTTGAAACTTCACATATCTAAATGTATTTTCTTGTTTTTCTTCACTGTTGTTGCAAACAAATGACATTCTTGGTTTAGTTCATGACATGATGGCAATGGGAGATTCTTTTTGATGTCTCCTCATTATTGGTTTTAGGAAACTAGATATCAAAAGTCCTCATTAACTTGTTAAGCATTAGGCCAGCTGTTCACTTGAGAAATTAGCAAACCTGTAACCAGCCTTCCCATAAAATGCATCTTCATTATTATTTTATAATCAGGAAGCTTGAATCAGTTTTTTTTCTACTGCACAAATAGACCAGTTCTTCCTCATATTGCTGTAAGAAGACTTCAGACAGTATCAGCCTATTTCAAAGGATTCTTTTGTTCCTGGGAAAGGGAGTCTTTCTGTTTAGTCTTAATAGTATGGCTTTGTACTAGTTACCAGTGGTTCAGTATATTCTTTTCCAAAGTATATCCCCTAGGAATGCATCCCTTCCTAGGGAAAGAGCCCTTTTGAATGAAAACTGACTTGCCCTTTGTGTGCAGTGTAGTTGTAGCCATATCGATCCCAGGATATTAGAGAGACATGGAGGGTGAGGTAATATCTTTTATTGGACCAACGTTCTGTTAGTGAGCGAGACAAGCTTTTGAGCCACACAGAGCTCTTATTCAGGTCTAGGAAAGGTACTCCCAGCTTCACAGCAACAAGCAAGGTGGAACAGATTGTTAAGTGTAAGTAGTTAGAACATATTGTAAGAGATCATAGTAGCTAATGACTTACGCTAAACAATCTGCTCCACCTTGCATGTTACTGTGAAGCTGGGAATACCTTTCCCAGACCTGAAAAGAACTCTGTGTGGCTCGAAAGTTTGTCTCGCTCACCAACAGAAGTCCAATAAAAGACATTACCTCACCCACCTGGTCTGTTTTGTTTCCCCTTTTGGAAGATGAGACTCCTCATGCTAGTTCATGGTGCCTGCAGTGTGGTAAGATACAGTATAATACAGATCAGAACATCCTAATCATTATTACTTGTACAGATTTATTACAATTGTGTCAGAAAAACTAACAAATGCAATTGAACTATTACAATCAAACCTGGCTCCTTATTAGGCATTCCTTTTCATTCCTTTTGTTTCTATGGCTTGTGGGATGAAAACAAGGTGTTTCCTGGTCAGTGGGCCTTAGAAAGGGACCAGTTTTGCCTCTGTATTTCCTCTGACTTTTGTGTATGTCCCTCGTGAATGTTTTGCAACGTGCAGTTTTTGGCAAGGCCAGGAATCGGGGTGTCACTGTGACTAGTATGGCTCACAGATGTGTGTGCCAATCTCAGGTCAGACTGTTAGAAAACAAGGCAGACACCCCAAACTGGTGGTATATTTTATTATTATATTTCACCAAGCCAGTAACAAGTGTGAACTCCTGGATCACTGTATTAATCTTAGCATGGAGCCGCAGACAGTCCTCCTTAGGCTCTCCAACCCCTACTTTACCACCAAGACAAACTGGAATTTGTGATAAAAGGTTATTAAAACCAAAAGTCACTGCACATCAGATCACTCCTGACCCCAAAGGGCCAGTCACTTACCCCATGTCATTGGATTTTCTTGCTCTCACTCCAAAGTCAAAGCTGTACCCAATTTCTGTAGTAAACTAACTAAAGATGTATTAGCTAAGAAGAAGAAATGAGTTATTGAGACGTTAAAGCAGGTAAAATACATTACAGGTGAGTTAGAGTTTGAATGCCAAATGATGGGAGAGCTGTAGTATGCTAGTTCTCCTCCATAAGTCTCTCAGGGTTACCCAAAATGGCTTTGGTGACCTCTGTCCAATCACTCAGGATTCCCCCTGTCAGTCCAGAGATACTGGATCACTCCTCGGGTTTCTTCTTATAGCTGCTTTCCCCGGAAGGCAATCTGGCAACTTCCCATCATAGCATGAGCCCTCCCACAAACTTTCTGTGTTTAGTCAACAAAGGATTTTCCATTGTTGAACATAACGACCTATACTTTGAAGTTAACATGCTTCTTCATTTACAGTTCAATCCCGTTTGATGGGCAATTCAGTTGCACATACATGCACAATGCATTCAGTTACAGCAATCCAGACAATCTTTCATTAGTTTTCATGAACAATGTGATAGCCAGAAACAATCCTTCATTAGTTTTCATGCAGTTTCACACATTAAATAAATTCTCATCTACACGCTAGGGATGTAAAATAGTAAACGGTTAACTGGTAAGCATTAGTCTGAACGGATAACGCAGCCCAACCATTAACCCCCCCACCCTGGGCGGGCTGGCGCAATCCCAGCTGCACCGGCCTCCCAACTCCAGTGCCCGGTCTGATGGAGCAGCCTGAGCCCCGTGCTAGCGGGACCAGCCCCAGCAGCAGCCCTGAGCTGCACCAACCAGCTGGAGCAGGGTTCCCTGGCCCCTCTCCCTTTAATTGGTTAACCAGTTAAACAATATAATATTACAGCCAGGGTTGTGTGGGTTTTTTTGTTCATGAAGCAAGTCCACTGTCAGCGTACTCACTAGGTGAAAATTATCATTTCTCCTTGCATTCTTCTGATATACCAAACTAATTCTTTGATCTTAGTCATAAACTGGAAACCCTGCTGTCGTGTATTTCTTCCTGTAGATTTTGTGGTCTCTTGTAAACTTTGCAATCTTGATTAGCTGGTGATACCGTGTTCCACAAGACTTCTATTGTAAGACACACAAATGTGTCCTACGAAGATAAGTGTCTCTTATCGCTTGCCTGAACAGAACCAGTTTATCACCTTCTGGTGACCTGTCTTGTGTGCCTTAAAAACAGTTTTCAGCATATATACATAACTCCATACATATTATTGTACATACACTTTTCAGTGATGATCGTTGTGAAAGAGGCTTTCAATAGAGGCCTTAAATGATACTCTTTGGGCTGGTCCACACTAACCCCCCAGTTCGAACTAAGATACGCAACTTCAGCTACATGAATAACGTAGCTGTAGCTGAAGTCGAAGTATCTTAGTTCGAACTACAAGATACAAGATACTACAAGTCCACACGCGGCAGGCAGGCTCCCCCGTCGACTCCGCGTACTCCTCTCGCAGAGCAGGAGTACCGGTGTCGACGGCGAGCACTTCCGGGATCGATTTAGCGCGTCTAGACAAGACGCGATAAATCGATCCCAGAAAATCGATTGCTGACCGCTGAACCCGGAGGTAAGTATAGATGTACCCTTTGAAATAAATATGTAGGTACTAGACCCAGGGGATCCCAAACCATATTAAGCCCTA